CAACCTGTCGGTATTTTATACCATTTTAATGTTCAATCTGTCAGACACTGCATCACAAGGGTATCTTGGTACAGACCTGCAATCAACTTCGACAACTTCCACTAGTGAGAGGGGCTGGATTTGAGAGGGACCTGACTTCTCAACATCTGAGTTCTTACCTCTCCTAGTGGCCTACGTCTCACCTCTTGGCGCTATAAAAAGCTCCATCCTGTCACTTCTTCTCCATATTGTTTCATACTATGGAACAATGCTCTTCTCCAGACTGAGGGACTGACCACCTCAAAACTTTAAGGGTGATGGACTGATTACATCGTCTTCAAGTATCTTCTGCTTCTATCAACTTTTCTGTACTTGACTGAAGAAGCCTACTGTGTAGGCGAAACGTTTCATAATAAAGATACCTAACTGTTGCATATGTGTCTTACCTAACAACTCAGCTCACATACTGAGGGGCCGTGATTCGATCCCCTGCACTGGTGAAAACGTTGAACATGTTTCATTTTACCTGTTGCCCATGATTGTATGTTCCCTGGCCAGCGTTGCATGGCCCTGGCCCGCGTGGCATGATCCTGGCCAGCGTTGCATGGCCCTGGCCAGCGTTGCATGGCCCTGGCCAGCGTTGCATGGCCCTGGCCAGCGTTACATGGCCGTGGCCCCCGTGGCATGATCCTGGCCAGCGTTGTGTAGCCTTGGCCAGCGTTGCATGGTCCTGGCCAGCGTTGCTTGGTCTTGGCCAACGTTGCCTGGGCCTGACCAGCGTTGCTTGGTCCTGGTCAGCGTTGCATTGCCCTGGCCAGAGTTGCTTGATCCTGGCCAGCGTTGCATTGTCCTGACCAGCGGTGCATGGTCCTGACCAGCGGTGCATGGTCCTGACCAGCGGTGCATGGTCCTGACCAGCGTTAAATGGTCCTGACCCGCGTTGCATGGTCCTGACGAACGTTGCATGGTCCTGACCAGCGTTGAATGGTCCTGACCAGCGTTAAATGGTCCTGACCCGCGTTGCATGGTCCTGGCCAATGTTGCATGGTTCTGACCAGCGTTGAATGGTCCTGGCCAGCGTTGCATGGTCCTGACGAACGTTGCATGGTCCTGGCCAATGTTGCATGGTTCTAACCAGCGTTGCATTTATTTATTTATTTGAACATGATACAGAAGTACAAAGAAATACAGTGGTTAAGTGTAACCTGCCAAAGCCCCTTGTATGCAGAGCATATGGGCAGGCTTAAAATTAACTTAGATTAACTAAGCAATGATATATTCAGTGGTAAACATTGTTGTAAACAGATAACAATTAAGCACAAATGAGTATTTCAAAGCAGGTCATATGGTCATTTACTGTGTTGCTGAGCATTCAGTAGAATGGAGTATTCTGTTAGGTAATGTAATTAAAAATAATAGTTTGATTGGGTCACAGGTTAGACATTTATGAGATACAATTATTCAGTGTTTATTTAGTTGTGGGTGAGTAAGTGATTTTTGAGAAGAAACTTGAATTTATAAACAGTGTTTCTTTTATATTCACAGGTAATGAATTCCAGATTTTTGGGCCTTTTATGTGCATTCAGTTTTTGCATAGTGTGAAATGGACTCGAGGAATATCAGAGTGATCTGTGCCTTGTGTTATGGTCATGTGTTCTGTTGAGGTTGGTAAAGAGACGTTTGAGGGGAGGGTTTATATCCGAGTTAAGTGTTCTATGTATGCAGTTGGTACAATAATAAGTATGGATGTTTTGTATGGTGAGTAGGTTAAGAGATTTGAATATTGGTGGAGTATGCTGCCTGGAGTGGGAATTTGTTATCATTCTGACTGCAGCCTTTTGTTGGGTAATTAATGGTCTGAGATGGTTTATTGTTGTTGAGCCCCATGCACAAATTCCATAGGTGAGATAGGGGTAAATAAGTGAGTGATATAGGGCCAGGAGGGCTGACTGTAGAACATAGTACCGTATCTTCGATAGTATGCCTACGGTCTTGGAAATTTTCTGGGAAATTTGTTGTATGTGTGTTTGAAATTTGAGTCTATTATCAAGGTGGATTCCTAAGAATTTTCCCTCTGTGAGCTTTGTGATAGGTGACCCGTTTATCATTATGTTAAGAGGAACATCTGTAGCTCTGTTACCAAACTGAATGAAGTAGGTTTTGCCAATGTTGAGAGTAAGTTTGTTAGTCCTCATCCAGGTAGATATTTTCTGTAATTCGGTATTCACAGTATTGCATGGTCCTGACCAGCGTTGCATGGTCCTGACCAGCGTTGCATGGTCCTGACCAGCGTTGCATGGTCCTGACCAGCGTTGCATGGTCCTGGCCAGCTTTGCATGGTCCTGGCCAGCTTTGCATGGTCCTGGCCAGCTTTGCATGGTCCTGGCCAGCTTTGCATGGTCCTGGCCAGCTTTGCATGATCCTGGCCAGCTTTGCATGGTCAGGACCATGCAACGCTGGAGGTGTAGGGTTCTGAGGGTGTAGGGTTCTGGGGATGTAGGAAGAGTTTTGGGGATTTAGGAGTTCTGGAAGTGTAGGGGGGAGTTCTGGGGGTGTAGGGGAGCTCTGGGGTCTGGGAGGAATTCTGGGGGTGTAGGGGAGCTCTGGGGGTGTTTGGGAAGCTCTGAGGTGTATGGGAGAGCTCTGGGGGTGTAGGGTTAGGTCTGGGGAGCTCTGGGGTGTATGGGGAGCTCTAGGGGTGTAGGGTTAGTAAACCATGCCCCCGGCCGGGATTGAACCCCCCGCGGGTTCAATCCCGGCCGGGGGTATGGTTTGTTTGCAATCGTGTCATTACGATTTCTTGAGTCGTGTAGGGTTAGTTCTGGGGGATGTGGGGAAGCTTTAGGGTATATGGGGAGCTCTGGGGGTATATGGGGAGCTCTGGGGTATATGGGGAGTTTGGGGGTATACCAGGAGTAATATTTTTTACCTGTCCTCAGATCACCTTCACGATAAAGCAAGAACGAGCTTTTCTGTTGTCAGCGTTTTTGTATGCTTGTTATCAGCAACGGGAGATCTGTGTCGCGTTGGCTGATCACTTGGTAATGTTTAAACCTTTATGGACGAGAATATGTGAAGGCTTCCTTCTCAACCGTGAAAGAATTAGTGTGGCCACGACTTCTTTCTCGACCGTGAAAGAATTAGTGTGGCCACGACTACTTTCTCGACCGTGAAAGAATTAGTGTGGCCACGACTTCTTTCTCGACCGTGAAAGAATTAGTGTGGCCACGACTACTTTCTCGACCGTGAAAGAATTAGTGTGGCCACGACTACTTTCTCGACCGTGAAAGAATTAGTGTGGCCACGACTTCTTTGTCGACTGTGAAAAAAAATAATTGGTCTTAACATAACTTCTTTCTCGTCCTTGAAAAAATTCGTGTGAATATACGACTTCTTTGTCGTCAGTGAAAGAATTCGTGTAAATATTTCTTTCTCGTAGACTACAACTTTGTCATATGTTTGTCTAGCAACAGGTTGATAAATGAGACAGTTTTGCAACATTGTTGCAGATGTGTCTCCATTTATCAACATGTCGGTCTTGCAAGCAATTTATTGAGGTCTAGCAACAGGAATAATATTAGAAGTAAATAATGAAAAATGAATGGCATAGGAGTACAGTTAAAAGCCCGAGTAGATCTATAAGTCACTATGGTAACATGGATTTGAGTGGGACTTGCACATGAGTTAGTTATCCAAGCTTATTCCTTGGCTAACATTGATAATGGGTTAGGCGAATATATTTTTTTAGTGGGTTTGTGTTTGACAAAGACTTGCCAGGTATGGGCCAGTAGACCTGCTGCAGTGTTCCTCCTTTCTTATGTTCTTATAAGGGTGTCTACCGAGCAGTTTGCAATGTGAACAGCTACTGATGGTAGTAGCCAGGCTTAAGCTTGGTTACAAATACTTCTGGCATACACAGATAACCCGCACATAGGAGAGGGAAGCCTACGACGACGTTTCAGTCCGACTTGGGGCCATTTACAAATGGTCCAAGTCGGAACGAAACATTGTTCTCATTCTCGAGAGAATAAATTGTTTAAACACTGCGACATCTTTCTCGTCCGTGAAGGAATAAATTGCATGAACACTTCTTTCTTGTCCGTGATAGAAGGGGTAATTCAGTTACATATCAGGTTGTTACCCCATTACATTTTCCATTTATTTACGTCTTGTAATTACTTTAATTACTTTTTCTTGGTTATTTGTAAATAGGAGAGAGAAAGGCGTTGGTAGTTTTGTAAATCGTAAATGGGAAAGAGAGGGGGAGGGCCCTGGTGATTTTGTATATCGTAAATGTGAAGAGGGAGGCCCTGGTGGTTTTGTAAATTCTGCAAGGAATTGGGAAGGGAGAAAGACTGTAGTAATGTTCTGTAAATCGTAAATAGGAAGGGAGAGGGCCGGTGTAATTTTTTTCTTTGTAAATCCCAAATTAGTTGGCATGTTATATACAAGATGGCGTGCATGTGAGCTCAAAATTCATCAGGCATACACAGTGGTTTCGTAGAGGAGAGGGGGTGAAGGAAGGGGGTGTATCCCCAGCCTGTCCCCTTCCCTTCGTTCAGAGCTAACAACCTCACCTTTGTAAACAACTCATGCGACACTGGTCACATCTCGAAGTATATATATATTTTTTTTTTAAGCTCCAAAATTGTATATACAAATATTAAAAGAGGTGTTTAATGTAATATTAATTAGAATAGCTTCTGTCTGTCTGTCTGTCTGTCTGTCTCTCTGTCTGTCTCTGTCTCTGTCTCTCTCCTCTCTCTCTCTCTCTCTCTCTCTCTCTCTCTCTCTCTCTCTCTCTCTCTCTCTCTCACACACACACACACACACACACACACACACACACACACACACACACACACACACACACACACACACACACACACACACACACACACACACACACAAAACTGCCAATTGAGTCATAACAAAAAGAAACTGCCCTACGTATACTTTCTTACCTGCAGCGCTCATAATCAAGGTATAAATTACAGATGTGGGTTTTCTTCCATTCTCAGGTAAATGAGTGGTTGTCCGGACTCTTGCATGCATCTTGAAGCAACGTCCACCGGAAGCAGGAGGGTATGTATGTCTGGGTATAATGTTGTGCAGGGGAGGAAAATATGAGGAATATGCATTGTGTATACAATGTATGGGACTTTTTGCATATATGTATGTTTATAAAAACATTCTCAGTCCACAGCAGGATTCGAACCTGCAAACTCGGCATCATAGTACACAATACTTTGTCCACACAGCTGGAGTCTGGCTGTGTGGATAAAGTACTGTGTACGCTGGTACCGAGTTCGCAGGTCCGAATACTGCTGCGAACTGAGAGGTGATGTTTATAAACATTTTCGCCCATTTGCGAATTATTAAGTATGTATGTATATATACACCTGAACGCTTTCATGTGCTTACACACACATCTTCAGAGGAATTGGAAGGTAAAAATAATTTTCACAAAAATCCTGTGTGTGTTCTTCGTTAAACGAACAATTTGTCTTAAATTTTATACATATGCTGGACAAATGTATATATATGAGTGGTAGGATTTTGGAGTCACATTGATGGAATGGGCTGGTGAACCTATTATAGTGCTCCTTTCTTGTTTATTTTTGAGCTTATGGCCTGATTTTTTTAATTTAAATTGCCTATACACCTTTCTATTGGTTGGAAATTTTAATACACATTGAAGTCTGACTTGTAGTTTACCGTTTTATTGGAAAAAGTTTTAATATTATTTATAAATGGAATTGTGGACCAGTAAGCTTCACTGAGTCGGTTGTCACCTTCTCTAAGGTATCACCTCAGTGTTTAACACAAAATGTGCTTTTCTTGCCTCTCTGAAGGAGACGCCAACCACATGAAGTGTGTGTACTCACCTAATTGTGGTTGTAGGGGTCGATTTATAGCTTCTGGCCCCATATATATATATATATACATATATATATATATATATATATATATATATATATATAATATATATATATATATATATATATATATATATATATATATATATATGCACACACAGACTGGGTTCGCCTTTAGGTATAACCGTGGGGACCTTTAACCTCGGAAAATTAAAAGGCTTCAAGGAAAATTACTAAGGTTTCTCCTTGAAGCTGCTAAAATTCTCAACTTTTGCCACCCCATCTTTAATTCATTAACATGTACACTTTATTACATTAAATGTTATACAAGTTTTGAAGGCTACATTGATTATTACAAGGATGTGATTAGTATAAACTACGAAACGTCTCAGATACATAAATGCACAATTATTTTTCTCAGCAATTACAACCATTAGCTTAATAATTTAAAAAAATGAAAATCTACGCTAAATATAATAAAAGATTATACTTTAGGTAGGTTCAACAGGCCTAAGTTCGGCCAATTTTAATAATTTTTCACAAAATTAACCTAAACCAGTGCCTCTCTGTAACAGCTTTACCCGAACTTATCTTGATGAACCTTAATATAATCAAGGCTAAGTTAAGGTCGTGTGCACCAGCTTGTCGTTTCCAAGTTGGTTAATCAGAGATTCTGGAGTAAGAGTTTTTGTTTGGTCAAGAGTTAACTTGCAAGTGTTATATAATACGATCTTCAGTAATCGTTAGACTGTGTGTTGACGGTGCTTGTATCCCATATATCGGACGATAATTATCTTTATTTTTATCTATATTTTAAATTATCTTTTTTTTATCTGACTTTTTTATGAGTTTTTTTTAATTATTAGGAAAATGAACATATGGACCATTCCTTACTAACGTGGTATGACTCAAAGGAAACTCCGTCACCAGTACTCACTCTCTTGCTGACTTTACAGAAGTTTACAAACATTACAGTCCCATCAACCACTGGACCGTAACTACCCCACTCATTTCTCAGAGTGCAACCGGAAATCACTCACATCCGGGGGGACAGGTTTTTAAAGATACTTCATTTACAATTATGTATTTAATCCTTGACTAATTGGGCAAAATTCAAATATTTCTTGATTAATTTATGCATTATTTAGTTTAAAAGATATAGATTTTGCCTGGGGTCCAAGCCGACATTATACTTAAGGAAGCTTTGTGTGTGTTATTGACCCTAAAGGCCAAGTCTGTTACAGAACCAGGGATTCAGTGACCCCGTGAATCGACCACAAGTAGGCTACAGGTAGGTAAAGCCTAGTCACCCTCTATACTCGGCGTATAAGCACTGTCTCCTGGAATGCTGGTTGTAATACCATCTTGCCACCTGTGGTCATGGGTCTGAGCTGTCCATTCCATCCCTTGGACATTCCTCGTCATGGTACCTTACCAGATTCAACAGATCCAGTATCAAACTTGATGGCCTTGTACAGGAAAAAAGGTTCGATACAGAAATACTAGTTCCCTGGGCTTATACAGAATTCATTATTAATGCATTCAAAATTGCTTCGAAATTATTCCCCATTTTTTCCATGACTGTTCTTCATTATATCCTGATAATATCTGTGGTCAGACTTGGCCTTCGGATCTTTTATGTTTATTAAAATCAAATTCATACTGAAGATACTGTTTAAGTATGAATCTGATTTTGATAAACATGAGTGTTCTGAGGGCCAAGGCAAAACACAATACATTATCAGGATATAACGATGAAGAAGAAAATCATGGAAATAATAAAAAGGCACAGTACCGTGACTGGAACAATGCACAACCCGCACATAGGAGAGAGGAGCTTACGACTTTGTAAATGGTCCAAGTCGGACCGAAACGTCGTAAGCTCCTCTCTGTAATGTGCGGGTTATTATTTGTGTAAAGTCATGGAAAAAAATGGGGAACAATTTCGAAGCAATTGTGAATGTATTAATAATGAATTTTGTATAAGCCAAAGGTATTTACACTTAGCTCCAGTGAATTGACGCCGAGAATGTGGTCTTCAATTATGAAAGTGCTAGGTCATTTTTGGTAATGGATTAGATTTTCCCGCTGAAGCGGCTAGTTTATTGTGCACCCCATATCCATCCTGTGGACGGTAGCGCTAGAGCATATGGATGCACAAAAGGCCTAGGAACTAGGCCCCGAAAAGGTTAACAGGAGTACATCTGGATATGTATCTACAGTTGCCTGATCTGTTGCAAGCAGAGTTAGAATATTTGCTTAAAATGTCTGGTATCTTATTTTCATTAATAAGATACCTTAACATATCACGTAAGTTAATATACTTTCTATCTTTGGCCCTGGACTGAGGTGGAAAAATAGGGTAATGAACATTAATTGGTAGAGAAACCTACCTCAGGAAACAGGGAAGGGAGGCTACCCTACTTTGACTCTCCTCAGTTATTTATTGCCTCAGCGATCACTTACAACTGGAGGATATAGTTTACCCCGTTAAAGCTGCCTGTCAGCTTCCTGCCTGCCTGCCTGCCTGCCTGGCTGTCCTGTTTCCTGACAAAACTGACTGACAGAAAAGAATACCACATAAGATATGGAACCTGACAATATTTACCATTGGGTACCGGATAAAGGGCTACTCATGTGTACCGAAAGAAAGGGTACCAATGTGTACCGGAAGAAGGAGTACCTATGTGTATCGGAAGGGGTACCCATGTGGACCGGAAGAAGGGGCACCAATGTGTACCTGTTACAATTTTATGTTTTAAATTACTAAGTTGGAAAAGTATAAATTTGATGTATTTATATAGCATGAAAATACACAAGAAGCATACGATTAAAAACCAGAATCATTTACATGAGTACTCGCTCAAGTGCTGGAAAAATATCATTAGAAAAAAAATACTGATGAATCTGGCTAGGATAACAAGGAATCATTGCAGAAAACCTGCCTTACGAACTTCATGGAATTCTATGACAGAATAAAGAAAATTAAGCAAGAAAGACAATTATGGGCTTACTACATTTTCCGGGACTTCAGGAAGGCATATGACATAGTACCATACCTGAGATTGATTCACAAGTTGGAAGAGCAAGCAGGAGTGCAAGGTAAAGTACTAAAATATATATAGTATCTGATTGACAAAAGACAGTGGTGGAAAAGAGGGAAACATAAGAATGGGTCAGAGTAACACGTGGGGTCCCTCAAAGATCGGTACCAGGACTCCACTGGCTTGAGGTAAATGAAAATAAAGAATTAGACACATAGGCAAGATCTTGGTATCATTATTTTGTAGACGTTTCGCTATCCATTGGCTTTATCAGTACAGTTCAAGGACATAATGTGAAGACAGAATTATATACAAAAGACAAGGTAATCAGTCCCACAGCCTTTGAGTAGGTGAAGAACACCGCAGTCTTGAAGAATTTGAGATAAATTTTTGCTAATAAATTCGCTTGATTTACAGATTTTGATATTTCTGGTGAGTCAGCACACACGAGATGAAGCACTTCATCAACATCTTGGTGCAACATCCTCTAAAATAAACGCCTTGTTATGTGTGGTTCTACGTAACTTGTTGTGGAGAACACTAGGTATTACTTTGTTGCCGGGTCACCACATGAAGACCCGTACGAGGACCCGTCCTGGCAAATCTACCTTAACCTAAACAGTGTATTTTGTCTCAATCTGCGTAGGTCGGAGCCGCCTCTGGCCTGAGACATAATGTTCGCAAGTAATTTCGCTTGTTCTGCGAATTTTAAACATACATATTTTTAAGAACAGCAGTCGTCTTCCACTTGAGTAGGGTCACCCCAAAATGAAAGCAACATTCACCACCATTTTTACCATTCTTCCTTGCCGGAAATGCGCAGTTGTCACAATTCAAATGCTCCACCGTACTGTGTCATCACCATCCCATCTTCAACATGACACACTTTTCCAGATTATATTATTATTATTATAATCAAAAAGAAGCGCTAAGCCACAAGGGCCATACAGCTTCCAGATTATAGCAGTCCGTTATAGTTTCCTTAAAATATATCAGGTTGTGGTGATGATGACAAGACCTTATAAGGTATATTGTTAGTGTTTGTGACAATTTAGTGCTCCATGTAAGTCACTAAGGATAAGTCAACACGGATTATCAGAAATATAATCACTGATGACTTATCCTAGAGATTATGTGAAAGAACGACGTCACTTACTTGATT